CCGGGCAGCCTGACCACCGGCACGGCCACGCTGCGCTTCTCCACCGCCCAGTCGCCCGAGGCGTCGATGGAGTGCGGCCAGAACTGGAACACGCCGGTGGCCAGCAGCCCCAGCAGCACCACCGAGAAGAGCGCCACGTAGTAGATGCGGTGCTTGGTCTTCATCCTCGGGATGAGGGCGGGGCCCCGGCTGCTGTGCTTGACCGCGGCGTACATGCTGACCCCAGGGCTCTGCTCCGCTCCTGGGAGGAGAAAGGCGGGGTTCAGGCCCCTCTCAGCGGTATTAGGCGTCTTCCTCACTGCTTACCAATAACTATACACAAATACGCCTGGCTGTACATGTGGCCTGTGACGGACAGACCTGAGCACTTAGGACTCCGTTCAAACACCTAACAGAAGCCTCGACGCATGGTGCGAAATTATACCCATGGAAATACACACACACGTTAAGCACAAGCTGCCAAAGGTGGGGCCCTGGGGAGGATCTGCTTCCAAGGGAGACGGTGAGAAGCAGAAGTGCTAAAGACAGCTAATTTGTTCTGAAACGCTTGCCTGACCTGAAATGGTGGCTGGACAGCTGATGCTTAATTACCCAGTACCCTGCTTTCAGTCACTTCTTCACCCTAAGGCTATGGGCTGTTACGGAGCAGAGTGGAAAGCGAAGCTCCTGGGAGAGGAACTTACTTTGGAATGAGGGAGAGGAGACAGACAGCACCGTCCCAAATGCAGAATCTGAAAACACCACTGAGAAAGCCTCACGAAAGTGCGAAAAGGGCTAGCAGAGAAGCAAAGACCAATCTTTAATCTCTAAATAAAATATATGTCACTGTCTTCTTTTTTTTTGAGACAGGGTCTATGTAGTTGAGACTGACCTGGAACTCACTATGTAGCCCAAGCTGGTCTTGAACTCACTCCGATCCTCCTGCCTCAGCCTCCCGAGTGCTGGGATTACAGGCGTGTGCCTCCACACCTGGCTACATCACTGTCTTATAATGAAAGTGAGAGTGGGCTTATTTAGAAGGAAGGAAGGCTTAAGGAAGCCTATGGAGCAGCAGAGAGGAAGGGAAGGTTGTTAGAAGGAATGGTAAAAAAGGGACAGCAGGTGGCGCCCCTTCAACGAAAGTCAGAGGCCAACAATTCTTCCCAGAAGCCAGCCGCTCACCAATGCTGACCAACTGTAACAGAATTGGGGTCAAGAGACCCGCTTCGCCTCCGCAGGCCGCTCCCAACCCATCCCACCACTACCAGACCACCCAAGGATCCCCTGCCACTGTCCCTCCTGAGTCCCTGGGGAGGCGGGATTGGGACAGACACACACAGGGGACTGCTCTCTGCCGGTTCCCCTGCAAAACCCACCAGCAAGAGCTCCGGGTCAACTTCCTGACCCTGGGCAGGTCAGTGGTGGGCACAGGGGAGTCTGAGAAAGCAGATTTCTCAGCTGAAAGCTTGTTTTTAATAGGTTTAAAACAGGGTCACAGAATCTTCCTTCAGCAAGCTCCCTGGGTGTTTATTTTGTGCAGTTGGGCTTGAAAGCTTTGCTGATAAACTTCTGTACCTTTTAACATAGTTCTTTCAGGGTTGGTTTGTTTTTTAACCTAAAACCCACAGGAGGAAATAACATTTTATATTGTGACCATTTTATATAGACAGATATATAAAAGTTTCACAAAAATGATTTGCAACCTATCCGGGCACGGTGGCATATACCTATAATCCCAGAACTCGGGAGGCTGAGGCAGGAGGATCATAGCAAGTTTGAGTCCAGCCTGGACTACACAGTGAGTTTAGGGCCAGCCTGGATTATATAGCAAGACCCTGTCTCGAAAAACAAAATAAATAAAAATGAATCAATTATAATATATATGTGTAACTTGCTATGAATCTTCTTTCCATTCTAACAGTGCTTTTTAAAGAATTCTAGCCATAACCTATTTAGGTCAGTGATCTCGCCCAGTAATCGGTCACCCACAGTTTAGAAAATGCTGTTTTCACATATAACAAAATCGGGGTTACAGGAACAAAGAAAGTATCTACATATGAGCCCCACTGGTTTTCATGAATTGCAGATTAACTACAAAAAGATAGAGCACAATAAAATAAACCCAAAGATAATAGGATATAGTTTTTAAGGCATATATATAAATTATTTATTTAAAATGAGAAACAAAGCTAAAAGTAGTTTTTTTTTTTAAATCACTAAAAACTGACATGAGACAATTCTGGTAAGACTGCTCAAGATAAAGAGAAAAAATGAACAATAACTGAAATAAAGAGAGGAATGTTACTAGAAATGCTGCACATACTAAAAAGATAAAATGCTGATAAACTGTGCCAATACATTTGAAAACTTGGATGAAATAGGAAATTTTAAATACACATCTCAAGAGTCTCAAGCAGAAATGGCTAACTGTAGCTTTTTAACTAAATCAAAAGTTTATGGAAAAAAACTACAAGCCCAAAAGCTCTACTAAGCTCTATGAAATATTCAAGAAATAATAACTCCAATTTTACACAAAATACTCCAGAATTCAGGAAAAAAGAAGGAATACTCCCTCTTTTTGTAGAGGCTGACATAGCCTTGACATAAAAACTTTGTTAGTTCTCAAAGTACGGTCTAGGCACCCCGGCCGTTACCCAAGATGCTTTCAAAGGGTCTGAACTATTTCTATAATAATATCGATGCTATTTGCTTTTTTACTTATCTCCAGAAGCTACGTGACATCACAATTAAACTGGATACAGAAATAGATTTGAGAATCACTGTCTTCTGTTGAGTTTTTCCAAAACTAATATCAGTTCAAAGATTTGAGATGCTCAACTCGAAGCAGAGTATCTATAAAGGGAACCATACCAAGGTATATCAAAGGAAACTGCTGAAAAGAAAGCTACAGAAAAGGTTAGCTTTAGTCAGACAGAAAAATCTATTCAAGACAGATTTTAACACTAAATGTAAAAGGCAAAATTATGAAATACTCAAAACACAACAGTTTTTTTTAAAAAAACAATACAATAGAGAACATGTACAACTTCTGGCAGAATTATTTCCAAAATGGAATTTTAAAAACCCACAAAAAGATAAAAGGATGATGTAGTATAAGAGTTAAGAGCTTTTTTCATCAAAAGCACCATAAGGAAGTCAAAGACAAGCTACAAGCCTGAAGAAGGTACCGGCAGCGCACAGAACCAATGAGGACTGACACTCCAGGTGAACAGCTGTGCAAAGCAGGGAGAGAAGACTAACCCCACACCTGCAATCCCAGCACTTGGGAAGCTGAGGCAGGAGGATGGTGAATTCAACTCAAGTCTGGGCAATTTCCCAAGAACTTGTTTCAAAATTTACACTTAAAAAAAAAAAAAAAGAAAAGGGCTGAGGATGTTTTCAGTGCAAAGACTCTGGGTACAATCCTTGCAGCTCAAGCCCAGCCTGGGCAATTTAGGGATAGGGATGCAAGGCACCATCAATGCACTAAACAATCAGTCAATTAAGAAAAAAAAATAGAAAAAAAAAAAAAAACACGAGAAGGAAGCTGGGGAACAGATGCAGGTAGCTTCCCTTCTTGAACAGCAAGTGAATGCTGACCCTCTCAAAGACTCTGGGTACAATCCTTGCAGCTCAAGCCCAGCCTGGGCAATTTAGGGATAGGGATGCAAGGCACCATCAATGCACTAAACAATCAGTCAATTAAGAAACAAAAATAGAAAAAAAAAAAAAAACACGAGAAGGAAGCTGGGGAACAGATGCAGGTAGCTTCCCTTCTTGAACAGCAAGTGAATGCTGACCCTCTCCTCCCCAGCCTCCACTCCACTATGACCCCCTGCTTGGAGAATCCCTCCACACTTGTCCCTGCAAGAACTGCAGACAGGAGGGTGGTAGAGGCAGATCTGGAGGAGGGAGAGCCATCACCTCATGAAACAGCCACCTCCAGGGAGCCCTGCATGGCACCAGGCCGGGAGAGGCTGCTGTCCTCCACCTGCCCTGGCATCTGAGGAAACCACAGCATTCAAAGTCTTGGAGTCTCCACCCAAACTCTCCCTCCCTGGGCTTCATCCCCCTCTGCCCAAGCTGACAGGAGACAGGAGACAGGAGAGGCAACCGGCATGGTTCAGCCACCAGCAAGGCTCAGTCTAGGCCTGGTCCTCAGCAGTAAGGAGATCTAAGTCCAGCATCCTCTTTCCTCAGCCTTCTAAGAGCCAGCCACTCTGCCATCCTCCCTGTAACCACCATCCACACACTGCTTGGGGCCTGAAGTGACAGCGTGGCCACTGCTTTCCTTCCCACCTGACCTCAACCCAGCCTGAGGACAGAGCTGCAACTCTGGTAATGGGTTTCTTGCTGCCACCTAAGGATGTCACACCTGGCAGGTAAGGCCCATCTCCATAGCAGTCACTCAGGCCCGAGCACAGCCTGGGTGACACTGAGCCTCAGAGGCAGTAATGCAGGAAATCTCAAAGAAGAGAAAGGATGAGACACCACGTCTTAACGCCTCAGCTCTGGGAAGCTTAATCACATCAACACTGCCCATCTGGAGAAATGTGACCTTACTCTCTCTGCCCCCAAATTTCTGAAGGCAGCAACCCCTCCTACATGTCCCCTTTAAATCCTTTGTTCTCTCCTCTCTGGCCGCTGAATCCTTTCGCAGAAGCAGCCCGCTTGCCCAAGTAAAATAAACAGCCTGGTTGTTCATACAAAGCCAGCCCTGGTGACACCTGTATCTCTAACACAGTTGCATTTCAGAGCACTGTTCTCAGGGTTTGCTTTCCAGGTCATTTCCAGAATCAATTGTCTTAGTTTACACTCTGACAGCTGAGAAAAAGTATCTGGGAGGCAGGTAGCCAGGAAGGAGAGGAGTCAGGGATGAACAGAAGTCATCAGGGTGCCTTCCTAAGCTGCTCATCCACGAAGGTGGGCAGAGCTCAGCCCACTGAGCTCCGCTTTGACGATCCATGTGGGCCACACCTTGGAGCTGGCCCTCAGGACAGGGAGCCTAGATGCAGGAGTCTCTCCCCTCTCCTGAGACAAGCACAAAAGTCCGTACTTAACTCCGAGGAATAAAACTATTCCTATCCATCAAGGCTATGGCAAGCACTTGAGGAAGAATAAACAACCACAATCAAAGAAACAAGGCAGGGGGCTGGGGTATAGCTCAGTGGTACAGTGCCTGCCTTGCATGCACAAGGCCCTGGGTTCAATCCCCAGCACATAAATAAATAAAAATGGGGGAGGAGAAGTGAAAGGAGAAAAAGCCCTTTCTAAGGGGCTTCTGAGCTGCAGATCTTCTCAGTGAGCAGCCACTTCACCCTGTGCTCACTTGATTATACCATTTGCCACATTCTGTGAATTCGTCAAGTATCGGCACATCTGTCTTCTCTACTGGTTGTGATTTTCTCGTAGACAGCCTAGTATAGACTATATTTAAGGTCAATATAAATGTCTGCTGAATGTCTCCTTTCTCCCCAACTCCACTGGTGCACATGGTATCCAGCATCCACAAGGTGCAAGTTGTTATATGGTGAGGACTTGGGGCGAATGTCTTTCCAGAAGTGGAAAGAGCTTCCAAAGGGGAAAGCCCAAGCCCAGAGCAGTGTTGACAAACTGGACCACAGAAAGACGAGGATCTCCAAAACCATGGCCCAAGGAAACAAGTCAGAACTTCCCATCCGAAGAGGACACACCCTACAACAGGAAGCTGGAAGGCCCGGAAGAGCAGAAGTAGAAAGGCAACTAAGTCCAGCTCTAAGGCTTCTCCTGTGAAACACCGTCATCCGGATCAGAACAAGAATTTCAGAAGAAAGTCCTGCAAACTTAGCTCCCTGAAACACATCAAACTTGTCCCTACAAAACACCGGGATAATATTAATTAAAAAAAAAAAACTGGAATCAACTAGCTGTCAACTGAGTCACTGGAAAAAGTCTTTTAACATCAATCCATTGTTGAGATGAGATGCATTTTCTGTTCCTGGAATTTATTCCTAAAATCTGCCTGAACTACATTTCTTCTGTGTTTCGGGTTATCTCCAGTCCATTTCTTTTCTTTTCAACTTTGTTAGAGAAGCCCTCAGGGCTCAACCCCCAGGGCCACTGCTACCCTGGCCTCCAACCCAACGGCGCCTCACGACAGAAGAATCAAATGTGAAAAAAAGTAGGAAAATCCACAATTTGTTGTCTCACCTGATATAATTCTTTATACTTAAAGTTATATCGTGGCTACCTCTAAAAGCAGTTTCCAATTTTTGAAAAGTCTTTTAATTGTGGGAATTATACTGTAACTAATACAATGGCTATCATTCAATAATTAAACTTTATTGAGCGTGTACTACATGCCAGGGTCTGTTTTGAGCACTCTATCAGTGTCCATGTATTTAATCTTCATAAGGGTGCTGTGTGACAAACTATTACTGCCCTCATTTCACAGATGAAGGAAGTTCAATAGAACGGCAAGTACCCGGTCCAATATTACACAACCAGAAAGCGCCAAAGCAAGGCTTGGCAGTCTGGCCTCAGAGCCGACTGTCTGTCCATTTATACCCGTACACACAACCAGGAGGCCTAAGTCACAGAAAGCCAGAGAGGATGAAAACTGAATCATCTATTTTTATTACTATGAAGAGACTTTGAGCCCTGAAATGGTCAAGCCAAGTTCGGGTAATGTACTTGGGGGCACTGAACTCGCTTACAAGATTGGGGCGGGGGATCTCACCGCAATCCTCCCGACTCAGCCTCCCAAGTGCTGGGTTTACATGCGAGCGCCGCCACACGGGGCTTCAAGCGAGGAATTAAAATGGACACTTTTTATCCCCAGAAAGACAGCATGAAGGACCCTCTGGTCAGCACTTCCTGTGCGCTACACCAAGCTGATAATCAATTATCTGAGTCTCAACCCTGCGGACCTCGGGCGGGGCCAGCAGGGGCCGGGACAGGTGGGGACGCCAGGGAGGGGCCGTAGGTGCGGGGACCACGGCGGGTGGCCGGGACGGG